GAGCTCCAGCTTCAGCGCCCCCTGGAGCGTGGAGGACTGAGGTACACGCGGAGGTCGAACCCCTTGAACTGGCCTGAGATTTCCACCATGTTTGAATGCCGGATGCCAAGGCTCCTGTGGGGCAGCAGTGGGGCATCAGCAGGATGACTGTGAGGGAGAGACGGCCAAAGCACTGAGCAGAGGGAGGGAGGGAGGGAGGGAGGGAGGGAGGGAGGGAGGGAGCGAGAGCACCTAGGCCGGGGGCGGGGGGGCTTTCGTGCCCAGGACACAGGTTGGGGCCCAGCCCTCTGGAGAGGCCACCCGTCCTCCCCTTCCCGTGGGCTGCTCCCTAGGGAAGGGCTGGGGCTGCAGGCCCTGGTGCAGGAGCCAACAAGGGGTGGGGGGCCCAGCCTCTTCTGCACCGGGACGGCCTGGGCGCCCCCCCCAAGAGGGCAGGCTGGGCTTGTCGGAGAGGCAGGGGAGACCCCTGGTGGGCAAGGGGGGCTCGGGGAGGGAGGGGGCCTTCTCGGGGCCCCTTCAGATGTCAGCCTCCAGCAGGTACTGCTCGGTGTAGTCCTTCGCCAGCTCCAGGCCCAGGGCCTCCTGGCAGAAGGCGGCCATCTCCAGCCACAGCTGGGGCTCCAGGAACAGCTGGCACATGACGCCACCCTGCAGGCCGGGCACCTGGAGGTGCAGGTGGTGGACCAGCTGGCTCTTGAGCTGGGCCAGGTTGCGGCCAAAGGCGTCGATGTTCAGGTACTGCCAGTCCTTGCCCAGCGGGATGGCGAAGGGCTGGGTGCTCAGGGTGGCCACGGTGGGGCGGGCCTTCTGGTCAACCACCCAGCGCAGGCTCTTCTTCTGCAGGAGGGCCAGGTTGCTCCGAGTGGCCTTGAAGGGCTGCCAGTCCTGGATGATGGTCTGGTTGGGCAGGACTTCGCTCCGGAAAGCCTCCCTCAGCACGACCTCCGGCACCTCCCTCTCCAGGAGCAGCTCCGAAGGCTCCAGGCGGAAGCCGCCCCCAGCCAGCGCCACAGCGTCCAAGCGGGAGAGCAGCTCCTGGGCCTGGAAGCGCAGCAGAAGGATCCCCTGGGAGGGGAGGGGCCTTTGTCAGGGGGCGGAGAAAAGCCTGGCGGGGAAGCAACCGAGCCGCGGACTGCTGCGGGGGGGGGGCTGACTCCCCTCTGCCTGCGGGCCTCTTGGGGCCGGCCCGCTTCCTCCGGCCACGGGGGAGGGCCTGGAGCGGGGCTTCCCAGGCAGCCGGTAGGTGGGCCCCGAGTGGACCCCGGGGGCCTTTCCCAAGAGGAACGGAAAGAAGGGAAGGGAAGGGAAATGGGCTGCTGAGACTCCCTGGCAGGAGGGGGGGGAGGACTGAGAGGCTGGGCTTGGCCAGCAGCTGTGCCATCCCCTCCTGCGCCTGGGACGGGCCTTGGGCTGAGCAGCTGGGCGCCTCCCCTCCCTCGGACTCCCGGGGTCCTGCCTCCGAAGGCTTTCTAGGAAGATGGCGCCCATTTTGAGGAAAGTCCAAGCGGAACTGCCATTGCTCCTGCCAAAGCGGACGCGGTCCCCCCCCCCCCCCCCCGGTGGTCCAGAAGGAGCCAGGCTGGGAAGAATCCGCCCTAATCTCCTTGGCCAGAGGCCCTTCTGCTCTGGGGGCCTCCTCCTCGTCCGGGGCCCAACGGGGACCTCAGCCTCCCCCCGCAAAGGGCTGAGGGGGGCAGGCCCGGGCACGCCATCCCATGGGCTGGGGACTGTGCCTTCTGGCAGTGCCCCCAGCCTGGCTGAAGCACCGAGTCCTCGGCCTCAGCTTGCCGGGCTGCCCACGACCTTGAGCCCTGGCTTGCACTCCCAACCGGACGCGGCAGTTGGCCTCTCCCCCGAGGGCCCTGCGTCCACCTCTCGCCCAGCCCCTTGGTCCACTTGGCCCCGCCCGCCTCCTCTGCCTCCCCCCAGAAGGGACAGGTGGCTCCAGGGTCCATTCACCTGTTTTGCAATGATGCGATACTTCCTCAAGTCTTTGGCCCCCAGCTTGTCGTCCCGGGTCAGGCGGGAGACTTTCACTTCCGGATGCTTCTCCTTCACCATGGCAGAGCAGAATCGCTGCAAATCCCCAGCCACGCCTTTGCCACGCTCCCAGGGTGCAACGCGCAGCCCCTCCACCAGGGCAGTCTCTCCCGCGTCAATGATGTAGACCGACTGGAGCCCTATCTGGGGGCAGATGGCGGCGGGAGCCGAGAATTAACTTTCATGGGGTCCGATGGATGGAGCAAGCACGGGAGGGGGCCTGGCCCCACTGAGGGTGCAAACTCCACCAGCCCCACTGCACCCCACCAAGGAAGCCCCCCAGGTTCCTTGATGGGGGCCAGAGCCCCACCTGACGCCCAGAGGAACAACCCAGGGACCAGGAAACTACGGCTTGCTCTGAAGGGGAGGGGAGGGGGTTTCCTTGGGGGCCCTTCTTCTCCAATTGATGAAACTTGGGGCGGGGGGGCACCCAGGCCGGGCTGGGTGCGCCGCCGCCGGGGGGTCCCGAGCCCCTCCCAGAGGCGCGGCGGGGGGGGGGGGGGAACATCCCAAGTGTGGCCTGTTCAGCAAAGTGAAAGACCCTTGGGAAGAATTCTGGGTTTCTGGTTCAGGGGGGTCTCTTCTTCCGCTTTGAAGTCCACAAAAGGGACCGCACAGCTAACCCAACCTGGCCCCCAGCCAGGGGCGGGGGGGGGGGGGGGGGGGGGCAATGCCTGTTTAGAAACTATTTGTCAAATTCCGGCTGTTCCCTTCACAACCTGACAAGAGGAGCCATTGGGACGCAATCCATGTGCCTAAGAACAGGCGAGGCCGGGTCCCCCCTTTTCCTTGGGGGGCTCCTTCCCATGTGGCCTGTTGCCATTGTAGGGCCAAGCGGTTTGTCTGGAGTCTGGACCGTAAGCTTGGCTGGACCCTCCACTATGGGGAGGCGCCCCAAGAATTCTGCAAGCCCCTCTGGAGAGCCAGGGGCAAACCCGGAACGCTGCCGTAACTCAGCCTCTCTTGAGAACGGAAGGATGTAGCGGTGCCCCCTGGACATTGGGGGGCCGGGCCCCTGGGGTCGTCCTCTTGGGGAGCCGGTCCCTGGGCAGCCAAAGGCCCCGTGTCCTCCTCCTCCTCCTCCTCCCCCCCTTCCCTGCCCATGACGGAGGGTCTCGCTGCCGTTGAAGCTGAAGGCTTGGGGAAGAGAGGCAGCTTTGCCCAGGCTCCTACCACGAGGCCATTCTTCTTGGCCAGCACAACGGTGCGGTTCGGCTCATGGATCCAGGCATGGTAGCGGCTTGGGAGGTAGTCGAGGCCTCCGTAGATCCCCTGGGAGATGGCCAGGATCTCCTCAAAGTCTCTTTCCGTGGCAATGGTGAACTCCAGCTGCGCGTCAGCCGCACTTTCCAGTTTCATGGCTCGCACAAGCAGCTGCGGCTGCAGGGACACAGACATCCATCAAGACCCCGGGAAGGGGGTCCCCCCAGCCCTCCCCAAGCAGCCCAGCTGGCCCCCAGGCGGGTGCAGGGCGCCTAGGCTTGTGACGGGCCCCCTTGGGAGGGACGGAGGGCGAGGCTGGGCAAGGAGAAGAGGAGCTGGGGATAGGCCTACGCCCCGCAAGAGAAGGTGGTTCCATGATCCGCGCGAGCCATTCGGTCATCTCTGCCTAGCGGGTCCTTCCTGCTTCCCGTCGATTTCAGCAGAAGCCCCCCGTGGCACCCTACAACCGGGGGGGGGGGGGCGGGGGGAGGGAGACACGCTGTCCCAGTGCAGGTTGTGCCTTTGGAGAAAGTGCAGCCTCGGGATCTGGATGGAGCCAGTCTACCCGCCCTGGCATCGAGTCCAAGTCCAGGCAACGGGTGGCAGTCAAAGCTTCAGCCCAAAGCCCTTTTTGTGAACCGGGAAGCCACCCCCTCGGAGTAAGGGGCAGCAAGGACCAAGGGCCGGCGGGAGGCCCCGGGCTGAGCCGAATGCCAGTGGGGAAGACAGAGACCCACCTGGGGGCCCGGAAGGAACCGCTTGACCAAAGACGGGCGCAACCAAAGTCCCCTCTCCCCATCCCGGGGTCGGGCAGAGGCTCTCAGCGCAATGCCCTTGATGCGACCTCTGCCCTCTGGTTTCCCCTCCATTTTCTACCCTCCCCCCCCAGGCCAAACCGTCCGAAGAGCGGAACGGAAGCTCAGCCTCACCTCCCTCAGTGCAGGTTCGGTTCCCTGGCACCTGAACCGGCCCACAAAGCTTGCCTGACCAAATCGCCCTGGGGAGGGGCATACATTGCTTCCCCCTCCCCCATTGCCCTGCATTTTCTCTGAGAGGGGGGGAGGGAGGGGGAGGGAGAGAGAGAGCACCTCGTTCTTGCTGGTCAGGTGATGAGCCCTAGAAACAGAAAAGGCACGAAGCGGGAGCGCAGCAGCCCCCCTTCCTCGGGAGAACCTGCAGGGCGGAGCTGGGAGTCGAGGAGCCCCCCCCCCCCCCGGCCAGACCCCCTCCAGCCAGCCGTCCTCCCCTGGCCAAGTCTTCTGCTCCGCGGGATCGGGGCCGGGGGGAGACCTTCCCTTCCCACGGAAAGCTCCCGGGGAGCGAACGGGAGGCCAGCAGAGAGCCAGCTCGCGCCCTCGCGCCGCCGCCGAGGCTCTCTCGGCTGGAGGAGCTGCCGGCCGCCGCCAACTTCCCCTCCGGCCTCGGCGGCAGAAAGGAGCGAGCGGGACGCGAGGCGCGAATCCCCCGAGCAGCCCCTCCCCTCCCCCCCCCCCCCGCCCCCGCCACCCGCGGATGCCGACAGGCCGAGGCAGGGAAGCGTCGCCATACCTGCGGAAGCGCGGAAGGGCCGGGAGAGTCGGGAGCCGATGGCGCACCTGCCGGGAACCTCTGGCCGTGGCGGTCTCGGGTGGCCGGCCGGTCCTCCTCGCCTCCCAGGAAGGATGGAGATAAGCTCCCCCCACCCCTCCCTTGGCCCCGCCCACCAACGGCTGGGGGGGGCGCCTACTCCCCCCCCCCCACTCTCACGCGCTTTTACGTCAGTGTCGGGGGCAGGAGAGGGCACCCGAGGAGAGCGTGGGAGGCCCGGCCAGGCAGATGCTTCTCTCCCCGCCGGCAGATGCCGGGCACCGGCTGCGTTCAAAGCGCCGGGGCGGCCGCCGCCGGCAGCAGCTCCCACTCTGGAGGAGCCCGATGACACCCCCGGCCGACTCTAGGGAGCCTCCCCCTTTTCCGGCCCTGAAGGAGCCGGAAGTCACTTTAAGGGGTGTCCAAGGCTGGAGGAAGCGAGGGGAGGGGGCTCTTCCCTGGCCCTGGAGGGGGAGCAAGGGAGGCTGAGCTGAGCGCCTGCGCCTGGCACACCTGCACGGAGCACCCAAAGGCAGCCGCCTCTCTTGAAGGGGCAGCCGGCTGGGCTGGGTCTTCCAGGCTATCTATCTATCTATCTATCTATCTATCTATCTATCTGTCTATCCATCTATCTATCTATCTGTCTATCCATCTATCTATCCATCATCTATCTATCTATCTGTCTATCCATCTATCCATCCATCATCTATCATCTATCTATCTATCTATCTATCTATCTATCCATCCATCCATCTATCCATCTATCCATCCATCATCTATGTATCTATCCATCCATCCATCCATCCATCCACCCATCCATCATCTATCTATCCATCTATCTATCTATCCATCTATCCATCATCTATCCATCCATCATCTATCATCTGTCTATCTATCTATCTATCCATCTATCCATCCATCCATC